ACCCAGCTTGAATTTCTGGCAGTTCCCTGTCAATGTACTGCTACAACCACTTTTGAATTATCTTCAGCAGAATTTTACTTGTGTGTAATATTAATAATACTGTTTGATAATTTCCACATTCTGTTGGATCGTCTTTCTTTGTGATGGCCACAAATATGGATCTCTTCTAGTCTGATGGCCAGGTAGCTGTCTTCCAAATTTTTTAGCATAGATGAGTGAGCACCTCCAGAGCTGCATCCGTTTGTTGAAACATCTCAATTGGTATTCTGTCTATTCCTGGAAACTTTTTTTTCCCAATGCTTTCTGTGCAGCTTGGACTTCTTCCTTCAGTGCCATCGGTTCTTGATCATATGCTACCTCCTGAAACGGCTGAACATAGACCAATTCTCTTTGGTACAGTGATTCTCTGTATTCCTTCCATCTTATTTTGATGCTTCCTGCATTGCTTAATATTTTCTCCATAGAACCCTTCAATATTACAACTCATGGCTTGAATTTTTTATTCAGTTCTTTTAGCTGGAGAAATGCCAAGCAAGTTCTCCCCTTCTGGTTTTCTAACTCCAGGTCTTTGCATATATCATTATCATGCTTTACTTTGTCTTCTCAAGCCTCGCTTCGAAATCTTCTGTTCAGCTCTTTTACTTCGTCATTTCTTCCATTGGCTTTAGCTACTCAACGCTCAAGAGCAAGTTTCAGAGTCTCTTCTGACATCCATTTTGGTTTTTTCTTTCCTGTATTTCTAATGACCTTTTATTTTCTTCATGTATGATGTCTCTAAATTCAGGTGGGATATCCTCAAGGTTCTATTTTGGTACTCTTGGACTTGTTTTAATTTTCTTCAGCCTCAACTTGAACTTGCAAAGAAGTAATTGATGATCTGTTGTGAATCAGCTCCTCACCTTGTTTTGACTGATGATATTGAGCTTCTCCATCATAGTTTCCATAGATGCAGTTGATTTGATTCCTGTGTATTCCACCTGTCGGGGTCCATGTGTGTAGTCACCATTTACGTTGCTGAAAAAAGGTATTTCCAATGAATACGTCGGTGGTCTTGAAAAATTCTATCATTCGCTCTCTGGCATCTTTTCTATCACCAATGCCATATTTCCCAACTACTGAAACTTCTTTGTTTCCAGCTTTCACATTCCAAACACCACTAATTATCAATGCATCTTTTTTGCATATTTGATCAAATTCCAGCTGTGGAAATTGGTAAAAATCTTCAACTACTTCATTTTTTGCATTAGAGGTTTGTGCATAAATTTGAATGATAGTCGTATTAACTGGTCTTCTTTATAGGCATATGGATATTATCCTATCACTGACGGTGTTATACTTCAGGATAGATTTTGAAATGTTCTTTTCGACAATGAATGCGACGCCATTTCTCTTCAATTTGTCATTCTTGGCATAGGAGACCATATGTTTGTATGACTCAAAATGGCCAATACCAGTCCATTTCAGCTCCCTAATGCCTAAGATATTTATCTTGAAGTTTTCCATTTCATTTTTGACAACTTCAAGTTCTTCTACCTTCATACTTCATACATCCACTTTCCAATTACTGGATATTTGCAGCTGTTTCTTCTCATTTTGAGTCATGCCATATCAGCCAGTGAAAGTCCCAAAAGCTTTACTTCATCCACATCATTAAGGATGAGTCTATGTTAGGGAGGCAGCTCTTCCCCAGTCGTATTTTGAGTACTTTCCAACCTGAGGGGCTCATCTTTCAGCACTATATCAGACAATGTTTCAGTGCTATTCATAAGGTTTTCACTGGAAATTTTTTAAAAATTAGATTGCCAGGTCCATCTTCCTAGTCTTAGTCTGGAAGCTCTGCCAAAACCTGTCCACCATGGGTCACCCTGCTGGTATTTGAAATACTGGTGACATAATTTCCAGCATCACAGAAACATCCAACAACCACAGTATGATAAACTGACAGATGATTGGCAGTACATATACTTAGGCATACATAAACATATGAGTCAGCAATCACACTCCTAGGTATTTACTCAAATGAAGTGAAAAATTATGTCTACCCAAAAACCTGCACATAAATGTTTACAGCAGCTTTACTGATAATTGCCAAAAATTGGAAGCAACCAAGACGTCCTTTAGTAGATGAATAAACAAACTGTGGCACATCCATATAATGGAGTATTATTCAGAAATAAAAAGAAATGCGCTTTGAAGCTATGAAAAGCCATGGAGGAATCTTAAATGCATATTGCTAAGTGAAAGAAGCCAATCCGAAAAAGCTACATGTTGTATGATTCTAAATATATGACATTCTAGAAAAGGCAAAATTATAGACAATAAAGATCAGTGGCTGCTGGCAATTCAGGGGAAGTTGGGAGGGATGAATAGGTGAAGCACAGGACGTTTTTAGGACAGTGAAACTATTTTGAATGATACCATAATGTTGGATACATGACACTGCACATTTGTCAAAACCCATAGAACTGTACAACGCAAAGACTAACCATAATGTAAACTATAGACTTTCATTAATAGTAATGTCTCAGTACTGTTTCACCAATTGTAACAAAGTACCACACTAATGCAACAGGTTAATAATAAGAGAAACAAGGTACAGGAGGGAGAGTGAGTATATGGGAACTCTGCACTATCTGCACAATTTTTTGTACACTTAAATTTACTCTAATAAGTGAAGTCTATTTAAAAATTACTAGTGATAGATATACATATTTTGGTTTAGAAATATATTTTACATTTTTTATATCATATTAAGTCTTTGAAATCTGGTATGTATTTTACAATCACTGAACATCTCAGTTTGGACTAGCCATATTTCAAGTGCTCAATAGCCATATATGGCTAGTGGCAGTCATATTGGAGAGCGCAGCATTAAACATGTACTTAATATAGTAGCAATTTTTTCTGAATCAACATATATGGCATGAGTGTGTTCTGTTTCTAAAATTAATTTTTTTTTATTGTACTTCAGGTGAAGGCTTACAGAACAAATAGTTTCTCATGAAACAGTAGTACACATATTGTTTTATGGCATTGGTTAACAACCCCACAACATGTCAACCCTCTCCCTTCTCAACCTTTTTTTTTGGTGAAAATATACATAGCCAAAGATACACCGTTTCAAAAATTTCTACATGCACAGTTCAGTGACATCGACTATGCTCTTCCAATTGTGCTGCTATTCTCACTTTAGATGAAGGCTTAAAATTAAACTTTTATTCATTTCCTCAGAGGAATTCTTCATTAAATGAACTCATCCTGCAGATACCGCAAAAACAGACATTCCAATAGTGTTGTTGGTGGACAGTCTGAAGATTATTACATATAAATATTTCTTATTTCCATTTTGTTTATGAGGAAAATTTTAAAAAATACCTTCTTATTATGAATTCCCAAGAATGCAATAGACATCCAGGTTTCTCCAGGTGCAGCGCAACGTAATGCATAGCTACATAACTACAGAAACCAAGCAGTGTTTCTGTGAACTGTACTAATATTGCTTTTGCAACATCAAACAGCCAAGATACCATCCAGCATTTACACACACCTAATCTTGAAGGAATACAGATTTAGTTCTCTTAATATTTTCCTATCAATTCCTGCACATGTAGGCACATACACACACACACACACACACATACACCCCTTTACACATATCCATCAGTTCTGTGTGTGACATTCTAGTTCTCTTCTTAAGTGAAATATAACACTCATTTTTTTTGTTCTTATTGTATAAATCCCATAAACCAACCGAAAGAACAAGTCTGACAGACAAATCATGTTCTGCCAATTTCAAACAAGACTCAAAGTTATTTTTATGAATATTGGCAAAGCCTCCTGTATGTGCAAACCATGATGCAAAAGAAAAAATTGGTACTAGAAATCTGATACCAGGAAATGAATTTTCTCCTAGTCTTCTTATGTAGTTCAAAGAACAGAGTTTTAACCATCACAAATCTCAGGGTTCTAGAAGAGTATAGGAGCAAGCTTATTTGTTTTCCACAAATGTCAGGAATGAATTTCTAATCTCCAATTCATAAAGCACATTTTTCAGACTTTATCCACCCTCCATATGCTTAGGCTTACAGATCATTCACAAATCCAAGGCTGGAAACCAGAGTACTACCCTGACTTCACAGTGTAACCATCTCACAAGTGTGTCCCACAGATATTTTAAATTCAGCATAAGCAAGCTAGATTATCTTCCCCTCTTCCAATCTTTCTCCCATTCTCCCTTGACCCAAATTTAAAACTCCTTTTTTTGTACTGCCTTCCGTTTGGTAATGTCTTTTTTTGTTTTTTGTTTTTTTTTTTAAAGAAATAAGTGCTGTACTCACCTTTTAAAAAAATTTTTCCTTTAAGTCCTGTCTATCTACCTTCTGTTTTACTCTTATAATTGAACTTTCTCTCCATCCTGAAGCTGCTGTTTCATTCATGTTTTATGAATTCCTCTTCTGGACCACTGATTACGGTCCCTGAGTTACCTGGATGTCTAGGGTAGAAAAGACCCTTAAAATGAAATACTGAGTGCATCCCTCTCGGAATTTCTTCTGACCATCGCTTTCCTCCATCAAATCTGGCCTTTAACATTCTGATTGAGCAAATAACAAATATAGTGAAGATTTTAGGCAGGGAAAAGATGATTTTTAATAGTTTTGTGCCTCAGGTTAAAACTAGAGGAAATCAAAAGAAGCAAAAAGGAGACTTGATTCTTTGCCACCCATAATAGAAGACAGAGACTTTTAACAACTCAAGGTTTTAAAAAAGCCACAATGACAATGACTTGTGGCTATTTGACACGTTTCCAAGCCTCTGCCATCACTTTCAAGCCCTATACTCTAAAAAATCAGTGTCCCTCTCTGGTTCCTGAGTGCCCCTTGCCCAAAAAAGCTGCTGATGCCGCTTAACACTAAACAACACTACCGCAAACTTCCGGAATAATATGTCTCAGAAAATAACACTTATATCTAGATAAAGCGTAATCAAGGGCTATCCAACAAGGGGGTGTAGCTCAGTGGTAGAGCACATACTTTGCGTGTATGAGGCCCTGGGTTCGATTCCCAGCACCTCCAGAGTTTTTCTCTCATCCAACACTATTTAAACCCAATCTTGAAGAAATACAGATTTAGTTCTCATAATCTTTTCCATGGAAGCCCTGGTGGTGTAGTGGTTAAGTGCTGCAGGCTACTACCAAAAGGTTGGCAGTTCGAATCTACCAGGTGCTCCCTGCAAAGTCTACGGGGCAGGTCTACCCTGTCCTCTAGGGTCGCTATGAGTCGGAATCGAATATTTTCCATGTTACTCCTGCACACATAGAAAGTAAAAACATAACCCAATAGATTGCCTTGAACCCTCTTCCATTCATTGGCTGTGAGCCTTTACATCCCCTCAGGTGACTGGGACAACGGAAGGGAGACATTAAGAAAGAGGAGAAAAGAAGAAACAGATCCCAGCGGAATCACTTTAATCGCCCTAACAAAAGCGTGCACGCAAATTAACGGGCGGTTCACCGTGGCTCCCATTTGTACTATTATTAAAGAGACAGACAGAAAAACGAAGGGCCCTGCGGACAGTTTTCTTTAGTGCCTTGTGTTTTGGGGGCCAAAGAACGGAGCAAAAGCAGAGGACCCCGTCTTATGCCCACCGATTTCTCTACCGTTGCTCGGTCTTAAAATGAGAGACAGACGGCTGTGGGTCTCGAGTCTTCTTAGGCGAGCGAGTAGCTTGGACACTGGGCAACGAAGACTGTCAGGGAATTAGAAGTCTTCCTAATACAAAAGTAGAAGAAATAACTAGAATCAACACTTTCCCAATTGATATTCCATATTAATTTTCCTATATTTCCTCACTCATTCCATTTTTTCCCATTATTTTAAATCTTTAAATAAAACACTTACTGGAAACCTCAGTTAACATCAAAAGGAGGCAGACTCATGCGAAGAAGCAGGGAAAGGTTTTCTATCAAAATGGAAAACAGATTCAGGTAGTTTCCGACTTACGTTTTATTTAGGTTACAATGAACCACACTTACCACCGGCCCTTGTTTTTGTTTTTTGTATAACTTAACAGTTAGTAGTATGTCCTATATACATATTATGTTGCTTATGTTATCATTCTCATGCCAACCCTACAAAATAAATAAAGATCACATTTATAAAAATATTGATAATAAATGGTAACAATAATGAAAACTAAAAAAAAAAAAATAGTATTCGACTGACAGAAGAATTGACTTGGGACACCGTCGTTGGTCAGGGACTACTACAAATAAAAGGTGAGTGGATCACAGGTATACTGGATGCTTTCTTTGTAAAAAAAAGAGCTGATGCGTCTGTTCCTTCATGGTCAATCTGATCACGTCTGCTTTGTATGACCAGTAAACTTCTAGGAATTTCTGTTCCACTGCTGGTAACTTTCCAATGCTTTATGGTTTCAAAACTGTCTGTATCTCTGTGTGTATTTCCTGTTGAATCAAAGTGTCTTTAAGAAGATACAGAATTTGATGTTTGTTCTCAGCACTCTCACCTGGGATGTCCTTCTCAATTTTCTTCTCCAACGAAAATATCCATAGTAGGTAGTCAGGAGAGAGACTGTCTGGCTTCCAAGTGTGATTGGCCGAAGGTTGGTTGTGTTCATGGGGTCAATTATTTATTTGTTTTAGGATGCATTTTATCAACAGAGATACTGTGGTCCTTTCATGTATTAGCTTTTTTTTTTTTTTCCCTGTTGTCTACTTGATCTTTCCGGGCACTTTAAGCAAACAGTAAGAAAAACTGACAGACGCGCAGGGGGAGAGTGGTACTAACTTCATAAAATGAATTAGGAAGTATTCCCTCCTCTTCTATTTTCTGGAAGAGATTGTGCATAGTTTGTGTTAACTCTTTAAATATTTGTTGGAATATTCCAATTAATCTTTCTGGACCTGGTGATTCTTTTTTGGGTGGTGGGAGTTTTAAAATTACTAAACTGATTTCCTTTGTAGTTACATTGCTATTCAAAATACATATTCATAATGGGTGAGCAGTGGCAGTTTGTTTTTTTTGAGGAATTGATCCATTTCAACTAAGTTGTCAAATTTACGTGTGTAGCATTGTTTATAGTATTTCCTTATTATTCTTTTGTTGTCTGCAGAGTCTGTAGTGACATCCCGTTTCATTCCTGATATTGATATTTTGTTTTCTTCCCTTTTTGTTTTTCTTTGTTTTTGTCAGTCTTGTTAGAGGTTTGTTAATTTTATTCATGTTTGCAAAGAAGTAACTTATTGTTTCATTGATTTTCTGTATTTTGTTTGTTTTCAATTTCATTTATTTCTACTCTTATTTTTACTATTTCGTTTCTTCTGCTTGATTTGGGTTGTGTTCTTTTTTTGTTTGTTTTTAGGTTCTTCACGTGAGAGTTTAGATAATTGATTTGAGACTGTTTTCTATTGCATGCATTTAATGCTATAAAATTCTTTCTCTTTACTGCGTTAGGGTGTCCCACAAATTTTGACATGTTGTGTTTTCCTTTTTATATCCTTGAGACTTCCTTTTCGACCTATAGATTATTATAGAAGTGTGTTGCTTAGTTTCCAAGTTGGAAGATTTGTTTTATCTTTCTGTCACTGATTTTTAGTTTGGTTTCATTGTGGTTAGAGACCTCCTTTTCGACCTATAGATTATTATAGAAGTGTGTTGCTTAGTTTCCAAGTTGGAAGATTTGTTTTATCTTTCTGTGACTGATTTTTAGTTTGGTTTCATTGTGGTCAGAGACCTCACTCTGTATGAATCAATTCTTTTAAATTTGTTGAGGTTTGTTTGATGGCCCAGACTGTATGCTCTATCTTGGCACATGTTCCATGGGGTCTTGAAAAGAATGTGTATTCTGCTCGTTTGGTGAAGAGTTATATAAATGTTGATTAGGGCTATTGGCTGCTGGAGTTTTTTAGTCCTTATATATCTTTGCTGATTTTCTGTTTAGTTGCTTTTCAATTATTTAGAGACAGGCATTGAAGTTTCCAACTATAATTGTGGATTTGTCTACATCTCCTTTCAATTCAATCAGTTTTTTCTTCACATATTTTGCAGCTCTGTTGTTTGGTGCATACAAATTTAGACTATTATGTTGCGTTTGTTTTACAATGAACCACATGTACAATTTTTTTTTTAAATCTTATCTTTGGTAATATGTAGTTCAATGTGTAATTTGTTGTTATCATATCTGTAAGTTTATATGTAATGTTTCCAACCTCCAAAGACAAATAAAGAGTGGATTTATAAAGATACTGATAATAAAAGTCAATAATAATGAAAACTAAAAAAAGAAAATGAGATATCCAACTTACTTCAGAACCGATTTACAGCTGAGTGGTCAGAACGGAACACTGTAGTAAGTTGGGGACTTCCTGTTCCTTTTTGGTGGATTGACCCTTTTATGGTTAAGCGATGTCCTTCTCTGTTACTTTTTTGTTCTGAATTTTACATTATTTGATATAAATATAGCCACTCCTGTTTTCCTTTGATTAATGTTTGCATGATACATCTTTTTAAAAATTTTCTTTAATTTCTATCTTACTATACAGTTATATGTATGAAATGAGTTCCTTGTAGGCAACTTATACAGGCAGTCCCTGGGTTACAAATGTCTGACTTACGGATAATTCCTTTTGCCCTTTAATGTTATGTAAATTTTCCCTCACTTTGAAATGATTGATTCAACCTCTACTCCAACAAATTCTTCATCACAATCACCATTACATGCTTCATGTGCAGCTTTTAAATCACTGAAAAGGCTTCCAGCCTTTTCTCACTCTAAATGAAGGCTAAATAAGAACCATATGTACCTGTTTTGACTTACCTACAAATTTGACTTAAAGACTTAAACACACAGTTGTGAATGGCTTTTGCTTGTAAACTGGGAACTGCGTGTAGTTGTGCCACATTTTCTGATCCACTTTGCCAATCTCTGTATTTAATTGGTATATTTAGACCGCTTACATTCAGTGTAATTATTGATTATTTCAGAGTGTAAGCCTGGCATTTTATTTTTTGTTTTCTATTTGTTCTTTCTTTTTTTATTTCTATTTTTTTTTATTTTAATTTTTATTTTAACTTTTTTTTTCATTTTAATTTACAGAGTTTTTGAGCGTATCTCTTTGCACAGATTCCTTTAGTGATACAACTATATATATGTATATATGTATATGTACATATTTATGTACACACACATTTATAAATCACAGTGTACTGGTGTCATCATTTTATCAGTTCAAGTTAAGCATAGCAAACTTACTTCCCTTTTTTTCCATTGTTGTTGTTGTAGTGCACTTACCAGTAGATTCTGACTCATAACAACCCTCCCTCATTTACAATATAATTGTTTTAACTACTTTCTCTACATACATTTAGAATCACATTAGATAGTGTTATACTTTTTGCTTCAACCATCATACATAATACAGGAAACTCAAGAGGAGAAGAAAAGCTTATATTTACTATTTTTGCTTACCATGCTCTTTTTACCTTCCTGATATTCCAAAATTCTTTCTTTTATTATTTCCTTTATTACTGGAAAACTTACTTTAGCCATTCTTTTAGGGTAGTTTCTCTAGTGGTAAATTCTCTTAACTCTCCTCTGAGAGTGTCTTGATTTCACCTTCATTCCAAAATAATTTTTTTTGTTCTGGATTAACAATTCTTTTCTTTCAGTACTTGAAAAATGTACCTCTTCATTCTGGCCTCTATGGTTTCTGATAAGACATCCACTGTCATTCAAATTGTTTTTTCCAATGTAGGTAAGATGTCATTTCTCTCACTGCTTTCAAGATCTCTTTTGTTTTGGCTTGCTTTTTTTTTTTTTTTTTAATGTGCTTTAAGTGAAAGTTTACAGTTCAAGTTAGTCTCTCATATAAAAATTTATACACACATTGTTATGTGACCCTAGTTGCTCTTACTATAATGTGACAGCACACTCCTTTCCACTCTGGATTTCCTGTGTCCATTCAACCAGTGCCTTCTCGTATCACCAATAGACAGGAGCTGCCCTTTTAGTCTCGTATATTTACTTGAGCTAAGAAGTACTCTCTTCACAACTA